TTTATCAACATTTGATGACGTCCTCTCCGGGTTGGATTTTGGGTTCTCGGCTTTTATTCAAATAAGTAATATTCAAGTTCCAATCTTCTTTTGCCACTATGAAGTTGAGAATTGGATCAGTACACTAATGCTACTACTTCCTCAAGAAGGAACCTTCATTACTACCTTCACTCTACCAATGATAACAGGAACGAGGTACAATGCAAAATTACGGTTTTTTGTGTGAATGCCTATACATTCTCTGGTTCCTTGGTTGTAATTTTCCATGCCATGGCCTGCCCGATCCTGTTAAAATTGTTACATATTCCACCCAAAATGGATTTTCCTTTAATGGAGCTATGAAAATTTATGATTCATCTAGGACTGTTAAGCTTGACTTCAATTTCATTTTTGCTGGCTTAGGTAAATATTCGGATTAGCCAAGTCCTGCATACGAATGGTTCAAGCAAGGAAAGACGTCAAAACTCCTCAGTGTACTATAACTTACGAATGGTTCAAGCAAGGAAAGACGTCAAAACTCCTCAGTGCACTATAACTAGCTATACAGATTAGTGGGGTAATTAATTACAATGATAACACTGGAGATTATCTTAGATAATAGGTGAAAGCACAGCCAAATAGAACAAAACTCAAAGAGGAATTTGCACCCCTTACCAACCAACTATGATTTTTATTACACTTATATGCCCTTTATATTCTTATTTGTAAAATTGCCTAACCATGGAAAAAATATTTCAATTTTACTTGGATTGAGAAGGAACCGTTATTACCTTATTTGTAGGAATATTAAATGCAAATGAGATCCTTAATTGAATTAAATATATACTCACCATGAGACAAAAAGTTTCATTCTCTCACTCCAAAACCATCCACAGTCCACGTTATCTTCTTTCTCTCTCTCTCTCTGCAAAACTTCTCTATCCTTTCCCCCAATTGACTCTTCAATGGCCAAGAAAATGAGTAAAAGTGAAATTGAAATTAGAGTAAGAAGAGAAAAGCAGAGACAGTGAATCCTATGGTTAGGTCTGTGTGTTTAATTTTTGGTCCATGGGATTGAAGGCAGGGAACGTAAATCCAACGGCGGAGCTTCTCCGATCGTTGTGAAGCTACATCCAAGCATGAAATGGGAGCTTGCGAACAGGGCTGTGGAGGCGGAAAATCCGACAAACATAGTTTCGTGTAGAATCGGAGACAAATCTATTTTGTAGGACAGGAGAGGGGTTAGGGGTTCTGTTGACGGCGTGATTGTGATGTTGGCGAGATTCGTGTCGGAATCGTAGTCGATCCATGCCACGATCGGCTTGTCGGACTTGAAATTGAAATTGAGATTGATCTTCGAACCCCCGGCGAAATACCCCGCAGGGCGGAGGCGTTGGAGCGGAAGGCATTCGAATCGATGCCGACGTGGTTACTCGATAAGAAATCGTGAGACATTGGTTTCTGTTTGGTTGATTGGTGTTTGGATCTGTGATTTTGTTTGCGGAATTTCTTTGCGCATTTTCTGTGCATGAGACGTTGATAGTTAGTTGTATTTTTGTACATGTTGCGGGTATATACAGTATATTTCCAGTATATGTTTCGGGGTATGAAAATTTATATATTTCAGGTATGAAAATTTTATACATGATTTATATGTTACCATCATATAAGAAAATTTACATGTTGCGGGTATATGTTGCGGGTATATACAGTATATACCAAAGTTGTACAACACACATATACATAAAATATACATGAAATATACACTCGAGATTCTCGTAATTCAAGTCGGCCATAGATTGGGACACACATATACATAAAATATACTTTAATTATAAACTCGATTTTCAATCGTTTCTCAGAATCGATTTCAGAAACCATATAGTTCATTCAATACTTTAGTGAATGAAAATTATCATAGGTGACTCTATCTACAAAATATAAAAAACATATACCTTTAATATACACAAAAACGATTACAAAAATATATTAATCTAAGTAAAAAATATTCATGTACTTGATCGTATATTTAAGTTTGCGATCGCTTTTTTTTTTTTNATATATTAATATATATATTCCATATCAACTGTCAAAGCCAAGAAAAGCTGTAGTCCACTAATTCTCTTCGATTAACCAGGCTTTTCAGTCATAAAGGAGAATCTTGAATCCTTTAGAAAGCGTCCTGCTCCTCGATTCTCCATGCTGGCCCCTGTATTGGCCCCTCCAACAGTTCTCAAAGGACAAAATATTAATATATATATTTTCGGTTATCTTCGGTCTATTCTTCATCGATTTTTGAAGAGTATATATATATTAATATATATATTCCATATCAACTGTCAAAGCCAAGAAAAGCTGTAGTCCACTAATTCTCTTCAAGTAGTAGCCCTGAGAAAGCCTTCAACCCGACAAATGCTCTAAATCAAACGAAAAGGTGAGTTGGACTTAATTTGTAGTCAAAAATATCGGCAAATCTGATCATCTTCTCTCTCTTAAGATGGTATAATTAACGTATATTAAGGGCATCAATTGTTAGGTATATATGTAAATATTTATGCCATAAATAATTTAACTGCAATAAAATGTTGGCCACTAGTAAATCTGCAATTATTTGCAAATCGTGTAGGATATATAAAATTTTCCCAAACTCAAAACAGTTCATAATTCATCCCTGTCCAGATTCGACTCCTCCTCCCACTCATGTCTCTAAAACTCAAAACAGTTCATAATTCATCCCTGTCCAGATTCGACTCCTCCTCCTCCCACTCATGTCTTAGAGAGAGATATCGGCCTCCCAATAATTGCTTCATGTTCTCTTCATGGACCAATATCTGGCATCTTCCAGTGTCATTCGACAGGAAATGAACTACAAAAACAAAAAACACAAAAATGAATAAGTTGCAAAAAAACACATAAAAGAATACATAAAATTAGAATTGACCACAAAAAAACATACCATTGACATTGCCACCCGTGTGGCTATCCCTCAACATAGCATACAATATGGCCTTCTTACCATATTCTATCCCTTCCTGTAAAGTCATGTCTCTCGGATGCCTAGGACCAATACAAGATCAAACATTGTATGAAAATTAAAACATAAATCCTAGAATAGTTCAAAGTAGAATGAAAATTAATAGTTCAAAGTAGAATGAAAATTAAATACCTCCGGGTCCGATAAAGCTCACTGCGCACGTACTTGCCAACATGTTCATATCCACTCCCAATGAAAAAAAGATCCCCCAACAACTTCTTGACAGGTTTAGATTCTAGCACATAGATAATGGGCCCTTCATCAGTAGAACCACCACCACCGATCAGCATACGGTGGTAAGGTTCAGTCATCCTTTTTTCGCGCATCATCTTTTCCACAAAATCTGCTGCTTGACTGACTGTGAGATTTGATCCAACACACTGTGGAAGCAATGTTGTTGTGTTGATTATAAACAAAACAATTTAAAGCATGAAAATACCACTTTAGAAGGGTGTGCAATGTTGTTGTGTTGATTATAAACAAAACAATTTAAAACATGAAAATACCACTTTAGAAGGGTGTGTTGATTAAAACATACCATTCCTGCCAAAGCATCTCTCTTGTCATCCCAACACATGTAAGTTCCTGACCCACCGACTAATAGGGTGTGAGGTGAACGGCCCACCGGAAAGACCTTTTTTGCTTCTGCTTGATTCGAAATCACCAATGGTTTCACATTAATAAAAAAAAAATAAAAAGAAAGAAAGACAAATCAATCAAACACATAAAAGTAAAACTAACCTAAACCATTTGAAAGCCTGGTATCAGAAGCAAACAAGATACCCGACTGAATCACAAATCCGAACACAGCTGTGCCGGTCACCGTACCCCTACAATGACAAGGCACTAAGGTAAGGTGTCCAAAAACATTGTTAAAATGTGATCAAATAGCGAAAAAGACAAAAAGTAAGATTTATGAGTAATATCCCACTTGGTGGACCAAGACTTCTCTCTAAATTCTTTATGCAATTAGGTAAAATATAACGAAGACATCATTTCAAAGCATCAAGCCAACGAATCCCAAAAAAACTTTCAAGGACACACCATTACTAAACCCAAAAGTGTGTGAAATAAAGCAAGAGGAAAGCACAATACACATATCAATACACATATCAAAACATAACAGAGGCTAATGCTAAAAAAACAAACAGCAGCATTTGAAGAATTGTGATGCATACTACTCAAACAACAAGAACATTTTCAAAGTATATACTCACAGCATAACTCAAAAGATCAAACATATAAATATGCATACTACTCAAACAACAAGAACATTTTCAATTATATATATATATATATATATATATAATCTGTCACACACTCAAGAGCAGCAAACAAATTTTCACCCTATAGTGCTTCTCTTTTAACAACAAAACGCAGTAGCATTAAACCAACAAAAATAACTTTGTTGCACCCAAATAATCCTTTTCAATCCTTGAAAAATAACTAGCAGTCGTATACAACACGCTTTCTAGTTGTATATAACATGTGAACAAGAGGCCTGGCATGAAATCATTCACTTTTTCATGAAAAATGCAATAATAACAAGAGGTCAAACAAATAAATATATACACACCTACAACACTCAAACAACTCCTTTTAAAACAAAAGAGCAACATTTAACTATATACCTAAACAAATAATTCACTCTGCATTTCAGTTTAAAACGAACCAAAAATTTTACAAGCCACAGACACGTTAAACCTATTCATATATATGCATGTGTACAGCAGCAGAAAAATGCACGAAATCCCACCTTCGACACAACTGCATACATACACCCTTGTAAAAACACATACATATCAAGCATTCTTTCATACTTTTGGTTCTCAAATGCTCACAGTAACAACATTAACAACACACAATTCTTCTTGACAAAAACAGAAGGTCGATTATTCTAACAGCACACAAACTCACTAAATCAAGCACAACAAACATTTCAGTACTTGTGCCAAAGACCATATGAGATAAGAGATGGAGAACAAAATCAACCTTCAAAAGTAACAGAGAAAAAAAAAACTACAACAAAAATCACCTCTTTCCAAATGGAGGTTTGAGGTGAACACAGAGACAAAAGGGGAAAATATACAACACTAGAAAATCAGGACACATTTTTCAATGCAAAGGAGAAAAATCCCGAGAACGGGAAAAGATAAACATCTGCATCTACCAAGAGTTCCTAAATGTAAACTACATTATATGTGTGCCGAAAGTTCAATAGCAGAGAAATAGAGTTGGAAAATACTATGGAAACAACTAGGAATCAATATTTACCTCATCAGATTTGATGGTTCAGCATCCATGGCTTGCCCTCAAAGAAACAGTAGGCAAAAGCAGCAGCTCGATGAACAGCAGCTCGATGAACAGTAGGCAAAAACACAGGAATCACTATTTACTCCTTTTTGACCTATTTTCAATCGTGGGTGGGCTTCTTTTCTGTAGGTTTTTATCTTACAGTAGAGATTTAAGAAGGGATTTAAGCCCAAGTGTCTGGGCTGCCCAGTGTTTTTTTCATGATTTAAGCCCAAGTGTCTGGGCTGCCCAGTGTCTGTTTCATTCTCGTTAAAAAACATGAAATTGAAACTAAAAATATACAAACATAAAAATATCAATCAAACAAACAAATCACTTGGATATATAAATGAAAAATCAAACAAAACGAATAAATGATTTGGAAACAAGTAAAAAAAAAAAATTGAAAAACAGACATAAAAAGTTTGAAATCGTAATTAAAAATACTCAGAAACAATTTCATTTTTTTTTTTATAAGATCTAAAATCTATTACATTTTTCAGATTTTAAATTACTGTAAACAAAAACTGACCTTGAAATCAAAAATATTTAAACTCAAATGAAAAATCAACCAAAACAATAATTCACTTGAAAAGAAATACAAAAATTTGGTTAAAAAAACCATAGGATGCTCATAACCAATTAACCTTACCCTCCATGTGTATGAACCCTTCATCTAGTTCTAATCTAAGCTGATTGGAAGTCAATCCTTGATCTAATCTGATGTCTCCTCTCCTCCACCTATAATGACTTAATAGTCATCGGCGTAAGAGGAGAGACCACAACCGTTTAGATCAAAAACAGAATCCATGTAATCTCCAAAAGGCGTCCAAGATTTTATATGAACAGGCAAGAGAAAGACTTCCATGGGCATGAAATCTAATTCCATCAAGAAGTAGGGTTAAACTATGAAGGAGAAGGATTACTGGGATATGAAGATATGAGGGAGGAGGAACCGATGTAGAGAGAGAGAGAAAGAGATTTAGAGAAGGGGGACTTCTGACAAGTATGTACTATACCTAATTATAGAAAAGATGAGGAGATCAAGGGCTAAGATTTGTTAGGTTTCCACGTGCACCCACTGATAAGATCGTGTCCACAAATAACGTTCCAAGGCCATAGAGGAGATAAGATTGTATTTTTTTTTTTTATTTTTTNCTAAAAAAAAAAATAATAATAATAATAATAATAATAAGATTGTAGTTGTACTACTTGTACCCAACAATATTACCTCATATTCCATCCATACCGTTCACTTTTATAAAAATATTTATTATATAAAAATAGTTCATTCTTATGAAAGTCAAAATTAAAAATGACAAAATGACTTAAATTGTAACACTCCGCTTATCAGAGTAACTTTTTCCCAACTTTTACTTCAAAAATATCTATAACTCTTTCGAAATCTTTTACGAATAATTCGGAATGCTACTAAATCTTACATCTTGAAAATCCATTTATCTTTTAAACTCTTGTCTAATAACTCTTTTAGACATAAATAAATAGATTTTCTTTAAACTTGCATTTAACCATTTCATACTTCTCAAATTGGTAAAAACTCAAATCATCACTTCAATTAAATTGCAAGTTCAAACATCAATATGCGTAGCGGAATAATTGAAAAAACGTATTTATAATACAACTTATCAAATAGTTCACAAATGTCCTTTATTGAAATACACGACCATAGCCATCACCACTCGAGCTCACACCTCCGGCCCGACCCTATTTCCTGAAAAACATAATGGGGGTGAGTATTGATCCTCTTGTACTCCGTAAATACCCATACTAAAGTAAACAGCAATAATAATACAATATCATAATCTCCGGTATATATAACTCAATAACTCAACTTCATCTCACCGATATCTCATCGGATACTTGTGCACAATCTAATGGATATTTCTCAAGGCAACTCAATGGCCTCCATTAGAACTTAGGAAATACTCGTAAGGCAACTCATCGGCCTTTTTCCCAAGCGTAATAAACTTAAACTCATACATACCTCGGACATGATACCAATATTATACTCAATGTAATACCCAGTCTGGGTCCCCACCTTTCGTCGTTTGTAAATTCTGTAAGTGTTGTAGTCGAGTAGCAAACTCCTCAAGCTACATCAAAATATATAAACAAATATACTAAGTACTTATGCTCATTTACTCAATAAGATGCTCGGTTTTCTCAATTCATTCGAATAACTCATTCAAATCTTATAGAAATTTCAATAATCATATCATTTCTCAAATTAATTTTTCTTCATCTTTTACTCAATCAATTACTTAACTTATCATATATCATATTCTTCAAATCATTCATATTTACTCATACTCATTTTTCACTTATACAACTTGAAAGTGAAAATATACTCAATCATATTCATCTATTACTCATCACATCAAATCATGATATTAATATACCATACTTAATACAATTTTTATAAAATTGTATACTCAACATATTAAACCAAAACTTTGTCAAATTGTTCATTACTCATATGAGAATTTATCATAAAATCTCAATTTAACAATTTGAACATATCATAAATATTCTTGCATATATACTCATCTTTACATATATGCCATCTTGTCATCTTAACTCATTCATTTCTCATCTTCATATCATGAAATTTAACAGTCATAATCTCAACTCATAATTAGACATGTCATCAAAATTTCATAATTTTAGCATGCATATTCATCAAGTTATTAGAATTTAAAGTCATAGTGAACATAAATTTCATATTACATGTTCATCTTCAAAAATTCATAACTTTAGTTATACTATGCCAAATAACATAATTCTTGTTCTAATGTACTCCTCTTTTACATAAGAATTACTTATCTACATCATACTTTTTCCATCATATTCATATCTTTATGAAAATCTCATGCAAATCAACATCTTATCATATCAAATACATATATCACATAGTTGATCTTTAACATCTTTAACTTATGATATCAATTATAACTTCAACTTATAAATCATGATATACATACTTATGAACATGTAATCATATCATCAAAGCATGACTCAAGTATGAACATTAGGATAAGTAAATTACCTCCTTCTAGGTGGAGTTAAAAAAACTTGATTCTTCACTCTAATGTCCTTATCTTCTCCAAATTTACTCCTTCTTACTCTCTTTCACAAACTCATATAACTTTGGTAATTATTTTGGTGTAAAAACTCTGAGTTTGAAGCCTCTATTTATAGGCATAAATCCAAGACATAGAGTTTGAGTGTAAAAGTGGATATAATAAAGAATTTTGTCTTGAAAATTTAATAATTCATAAACTATTATGAATTTAACTTGTTCACTTCAGAATTCTTATCAAAACATCATCTAATAGGATGTGGTTGAGATTACAAATCGAATTCTCAATAATCAGATCATTTCGTCAGTCACACGACTCGTGTGCTATGTCACACGACTCGTGTGACTTCACACGACTCGTGTGGCTCGTGTCACACGACTCGTTTTTAAAATTCGAAGCTTAACTTTCACATTTTCTCAACCGACACTACTTCACACGGCTCGTGTGCCTCTGTCACACGACTCGTGTGAAAAAGCCGTAGCTATAAATCTTCATCACATCCAACCACACGACTCGTGTTCCTCACTGTTGATAAACGGATTTAATCAACGTTAACAATGTAAAATTAACACAAAAACACAAAAGATTGCAGGAAATAAGATTTTTATTGAATATTTTGAAATCGGTTTCAGTACAGAGAGGTCGGTTTTTCAATATATTTCAAGTCGGAATACAGTGAGATAGCCGAATTGAAAATATGAGTGTTTATGATCTTTTTTCGAACCCTTCTCTCGTTTTTGGAGCTGCTATTTATAGTTATGTCTGGCACACATCCCTAGACAAATCATTCCCGTTTTAATGAAGATTTGACGTCTTAGGGGTGGCGATGACGTAGAAGAACGTTTTAGGCAATGATTAGCATGGGCGCGCCTCTATCTGTGTGACGAGTGTCACATCTGTCGGAACGAAGTCGGTTCGTCTTGCGATGTCGGTATTTTAATAGATCTTCAATATTCTACGACTTATTAATAAATAATTCTTTGACCGAGTTGGCCTCTTTCAAGGTTTAGACGACTTGTGTTGATGACTCCCGAAGATTCTGCGGTATCATTTACGGATTCCGAGATGAGATTACCGAGGTACAATATGTCCTATTTGACGTCGTCCAGAATCCAATTTATGAATCAAACTTCACGATTTCTCTAATTTAATCTTAATATCAAGATATTCTATCTTGATATCAACATAGAGGCCCCTGGCATTAAGAAGTATGCAGAGTATGCATGCTTTTGAATGACATCTTCCTTCTAATTATTGCCGGTTGCCGAGGTAAGGTAAGGATTTCCCATATAAGCTTAAGCCGAGGTATTTCCCTTAGGCGAGACTCACGCCTTTTCGCTCCTTTATCAAAGTTGTTCCATGATGTAAGAAATTTATTGAGCGGTTTTCGAGAGGTTATGAACGTGTTGTCTCCAATACGCTTCTCAATGGGCACGTACCGTAATTTTCGGACATTAACGTTGGCGGTTTTGGGACACGCGTACGTACGAGATTTTATTTGAACGTTATGTCACAGTAAAGGGGCACTTCCCTGAATCGACGCGTCATTTAACCACGCGCCTCTCCATCTTCAACGGTTAGAAAACTGCGAGTGTATATATACAGATAAATTCACGGTTTCTATTCACTAAATCTTCATTTAAGCAACTGCTCTCTCAAACCATCTTTTGCATATTTTACCTTTCCTCTTTCACCTTCTTCATCGTATTTCAGCAAATCCCGAAACCTTTGAGAGTTTACATCACTTTTCGGTAAGCCCTAATTTCTTCTCTTCGCTTTATAATTTCTTCGTGTCGTTTTTCTGGGTTTTAATTATGGCGGCGAGTGGCGAGAACGTCGGTCCGGGCAGCAGCAGTCGAACTATATCGGACCAGAGGTTGGATGAGGAGTTGATGGGGGATTATTACCGGTGGGACCCTGTTTTTGTGGAACGTCTGGATATTCGCAAACGTGATATTGAAGGAGATGCCGAGGTGGAACGGGATGTTCCTGTGAGGTCGGGTTATTGGAATCGTCCTGCCCGTCAATGGCCCGACGAAGATGTTCCGTTTTTGGGGGAACCCAGTACCATGACCGACGCCGACGTAGTTCTCCTCCGTGAGTGGGTACGAATCCCTACCTCGGTGAGGATTTTCGCTCCCTATCCGGGGGAAAGGATTCACTG